TTCCTGCAAAAGTCATCAAATTCTTCGCTTGTGTATTCTCCTCCATTATATGTTCTGAAACACTTGATCTTATTTCAGAATCAAGTTCCACCCGCGCTTTGAAGTTTTTTGAAAGTTGAAGACACATATGACTTCTTCTTAATATGGTACACCCAACATCTCCTGGAGTAGTCATCAATAAATAAGACAAAGTACTTTGCTCCACCTAGGGATGTAACTGGTTCTTGTCATACGTCAGAGTGAACCAATTCTAGAACATTTTTGCCTCTGGAATTTGATGTGTTGAATTTCAACCGGTGATGCTTACTTGTTATGCAATGCTCACACAAAGTAAGTGATACCTTTGTTAAGCCCAGAAGTAGTTTTTTCTCCACAAAGACTTTCATTCCTTGTTCTGACATGTGTCCAAGTTTCTGATGTCATAGCATTGCAGAATCTGAACTACATGAGGCAACAGAGGCTTCTGCTTCTAGCAAAGTCTCCCCCTTCAGCATGTATAAGTTTGTTGCTATCTTTTCACCTTTCAGCACTACAAGCGCTCCATGGAACACCTTCATGATTCCTTTCCATGTTTCAATCTTGCTTGCATTATTATCCAACAATCCGTAGGATGATAAATTTTTCTTTAGGCCTTTCACGTGCCGCACATCTCGAACAACTTTAATTGTTCCATCATACATATTCAATTTGATGGTTCCCACACCAACGATCTCTAAGACATGATCATTGCAACTATACACAGATCCTCCTGAGACAGGTTCATAATGATGAAACCATTCTCTTCTTGAGGTCATGTGATATATTGCTCCCGAATCAATGAGCCATATATCTGCATATATTTTTCTACCTTCCACGGTAGTTGATGCTTCACAGCATAGAGCATCTCCATCATCTGAAGTGTTTGCGGTATTGCCTTGTGGATTGGAGTTTTTATTTAGACTACAACAATCCTTCTTCAAGTGACCCTTCTTTCCACAGTTGTAGCACTTTAAATTCTTCTTGCTTCTCGACTTCGATCTACCATGTTTGTGACTACTGCTTTGGCCACGTTCTGTTGATCTCCCTCTCATCGTTGTTAATGCTTCTACTTGTTGCAGATTTACTTGTCTGTCTTCCTTGTTCTTGCACCGATTTTCTTCTTGTAGAATAGCAGCTGCAACGTCATCGAAGACTAGATTGGTGACATTACTGTTTGTCAAGTTGATGATGAGTTGATCATACGAATCCGATAGACTTTGAAGTAGAAGTTCAGCACGTTCTTGTTCTCCTATTTTACAACTTAAGGATGTAAGCTGAGAAAATAAAGTGTTAAGTATATTTAAGTGCTCCGTCACTGAAGTAGATTCTGGCATCCGGAGAGTGTACAATTTCCTCTTAAGGAAAATTTTATTGTGCAACGATGTGGCCTCGTACAATTTGGTGAGATGATCCCATATCTCCTTAGCTGTCTTCTTCTCCTCGATGCTTGACAATACTTCATCTGCTAATGCCAGATGAAAGTTTGCCATAGCATTCCCGTCTATTTCGATCCATTTGTTGTCATCTGTGAAATCTACCGGTCTTTCACTGATAGCTGCTAGATAATTGTCTTTCCTCAGGATGGCCTTCATCTTCAATTTCCACAATGAGAAATTTCTCCATTAAATTTTTCAATATCAAATTTCGTTGTCATAACTTCTATTTCGGATAGCTCCCACTATTTCACTATCGTGAATAGTTCTCTGGAACCTTCAAAGAATGGGTAATACATTCTTACTTTCTTATGTTGGATGATCCACCTTTTGGTGGCAACCACAAAGACAATAAGCAGATATTACACACTCAAATTTGGCTCAGATACCAATTGTTGCGGAAGACGGCTATCGGATAGAGCAAAAATGCAACTGATAATTTGAGAAAATAAAAATTGAAGATAAAAAGAGACACAAAATTTACGTGAAAACCCCTAAATAATATAGGGTAAAAACCACTAGCAACGATAGAAGAATTTCACTATGAGAAAATAGGAATTACAACTTTTCTCGATCTACCAAGGAGAAAACAATGATAATTCTCTCTTGATAAAAAAGAGAAAACAACTCTCAAGAAACTCTCTAAATTCTCTCTAGTATTAGAAGAAAGCTAGAATGCTTTGGGATGATTTTGAAGCTAAATGAGCTAGGGTATTTATAGTTGAAACTTAAGGACTAATCTTGTAAATACCCTAAAATTAAAGTGACTAAATTGGGTATTTTACCCTTGCTAATTTTCAACAATTTTGGCTACTAATTAATTTTTTATAGCTGTCGGCTGCTAATGAATAATGCAGCCGCCCATGACTTTCAACATCACATCCCAACATATTGCAGTACCTTTGCGGGTTCTACGACGACGAGAAGTGAGAAGTTTTGCTCGTCCAAGAGCCGATGAACAAGGATCTAAGTTATTACATGAGTGGTTCTAGGAGGAAGACAACCTGCTGTCTTCCTGTCGTGGTTGATCTTTTGTTTCAGATTGCAAGAGGAATGGAATATCTTCATTCACAGAAGATATTTCATGGTGATTTGAACCCTTCAAATATCTTTCTCAAAGGTAGGAACGGCACTGATGGATATTTGCAGTTGAAAATCTGGGGTTATGGTTTATCCACCCTTAAATCCACTGCTTCTTATCTGAGCTCGTCGTCGAAACAGAATGAAACCAACACTTTTATTTGGTATGCACCGGAAGTTTTGCAAGAGCAAGAGCAAATGTCGCCAGGGAATTCCACCAGTTTTAAGTATACTGAGAAAGCTGGTGTTTACAGCATTGGGATGCTATGCTTTGAGCTTTTGACTGGGAAAGTCCCATTCGAAGATGGACATCTTCAAGGGGAGAAGATGAGTCGAAATATTAGATCAGGGGAGAGGCCTTTGTTTCCCTACACTGCACCTAAATATCTTGTCAACCTAACCAAAAGATGTTGGCACTCTGATCCGATTCAACGTCCGAGTTTCTCATCGATTTGTCGGATTCTAAGGTACATCAAGAAATTCCTTGTGATGAACCCTGACCATGATCGGCCTGAATCTGGTTTCCTGATCCCAGATTACACCGAGATCGAGTCATGGTTCTTGAAAAAGTTCAGTGCCGATGGGAGTTTCAACTCATTATCAGTGGCACAAATCCCATTTCAAATGTTTGCTTATAGGCTTGTTGAGAATGACAAGACTATTATTTTCAACACCATGGATAATAATGTAGTGTTGGGAAATGAAGCAGCCTCAACATGTATAGATGAGGATCCATTGGTAGCAGCAAGTGATGCAAATTCCGTAGCTTCGGATGTAAGATCGGTCGGTGCGGATATAAAACCGGTGTATTCCGAGATTCCCGATAAAAGATCAGTAAATTTCAATTCAACGCCACAAAGGAGATCAACAAGCACCAAGATTCCAGAGAAGAAAACCTTACAGACCAAGAAAAACAGTAGTGTGAAGGCAAAGAACGATGCAGGGTCATCAAATGGGAAGGCTGCACAAGTACAACCACCCTTACCTCGAGTTCAGAGTGCAAAGAACATTAGAGAAAATCGATCGAAAGCAATGACGAGGTCCTCGAGCACTGATCGGCTAAGATTAGCAGCCAATGATCCCTTGGATTAGCATACATAAATCACCATAATCATCGACAGGATTGCAGGTATTGTATCAAACATTTTGGCACAGGGGACTGCCATATTTTATTTTATTCTTTAATCATCATAAGTCATAACCTTGTAGTTGCAATAATAGGAACACTGTAGCTTTGGCGTCGTATAGCTTCATTTTGTCATCAATACCCAGTTTTCTTTTTCGAAATTTAGTATATAATCTTTCATGTTCTTCAATTTTGAGGATGAATGCTTAGCACCAAATATATTTATACCTTTAAATATGATTATAGATGGTGTATGCATGCGTGATGCAAAATTACTAAGTTCAACCAATATTCAACTGAAAGAGAAGAGATTCAATGATGGCATATGCGATACCCTGCAATTACACCAGATACTAGTTTTAATGACATTATCAAATCACAATATGATAAGTTCAATTATAATTTTTATAAGGATATAATTGAAATAATCTTCATTATATTATATTAATATTATATAATTGTAACTATATATATATATATATGATCCATCACTTGAGATAATAATTAACTTAATATCGTGAGTATTTTGATACAGTCAAATATCAACTGTAATTGATTGTATTATAAAGATCAATGTTATATGTATTACAATCTATGTAATGAGATATGGTAAATCATCCCTTCTATGGACAATATCATTGACCACTTATTTGGTTGAGACTATAAATGTATAATATGAGATTTCATACTTATTTTTTGAGGTGTTCATTTTTTGACATTAACTGAATTAATCGATTGCATCGAAATTTAGTTTGGCTAATCGATCAATATGATGTTAGATCGATTAACGATTAAGAAAATTTTTAAAGTACAAATAACCGTTAATTCGATTCAAAATCAATTTATTAAATGAATTAACTGAAAATATTAAATATTAATTATTATATATGGATATATTAAAACTTTAAGAAAATATTTGATTTTTTATGTTTCAAACTTTTTTTGGATTCTTAAAGTTTTTTTTAAATAAATATTCAAATTTAATGTATTTATGTGTCACGTGATATGTTTATAAAAGTACCACGTGGATTTTTTAAAAATGAAAAATCAAGTAGGGTAATTTGTATTAGAGTTGGAAAATTTAAGTATCAAACCGAATAAAAACTATTTTAAGTCATGAAATGATAATGATCTACATCTTTAGGGGTAAATTACCATTTAACCCAATAATATTTACATCTTAACGCCAACGGTCAAAATTATTTTAACCCTGGACGCCACGCCCCTCCGAAATATCCAAAACTCATTTTGAATTTGAAAAATAGACCGTTGAGCTACCGCTCAAATCCGCACTTTATAAACCATCGCTCTACCATTTCCATATCTCAAGGAAAAACCTTTCGTTCTATTAATATTCTTGCCCTACCTCCAATGGCCGATACAACAGCCGTCGTTGATGTCCCCAAGAAATCAAGAAACAATGGCAGAAAAGCCCTGAAACAGAAAACCCCTTCAACAAATGAAGCCAATATTTTGGCTGAAAAGCTCTCTCAGGCAACTCCCCTTCCTTCTCCAATGGAGGCCAACGACAACTCCAAAGAGAATCACGACGGACTTTCTGGAACTCTCGTTTCTCCCAAGAGAGGGAAAGGGAAACAGAGCAAGCCGCAGTCTCTCGAGAAAGACTTGCAGGAAATGCAAGAGATGCTGCGTAAATTGAGGATACAGAAGGAGAAGACCGAGGAGATGTTGAAGGAAAAAGATAAGATTTTGAAGATGAAGGAGGAAGAGCTAGAGACCAAAGGTAAAGGACAAGAGAAATTGCAGATGGAGTTGAAGAAATTGCAGAAAATGAAGGAGTTCAAGCCCAATATGGTACTTTATTTTTCCCTTTTCCCTGCCCTAATCTTCGAATTATGGATGGTTTTTGAAACCTTTTTCTCTCTTCATCAGACATTCCCAAAGGTTCAATCTTTGAAAGACAATGAACAGGAGAAAAAAGAGAAGAAGAAGAAGAAGAAAAGACCATCTCCGCCTTACATTTTATGGTGTAAAGATCAATGGAATGAGGTCAAGAAGGGGAACCCGGAAGCAGATTTCAAAGAGGTTTCAAATATTTTGGGGGCCAAATGGAAGACCATTACAACTGAGGAAAAGAAGCCTTATGAAGAGAAATATCAGGCAGAGAAGGAAGCTTATCTGCAGGTTATTGCTAAAGAGAAGCGAGAGACCGAAGCCATGAAACTCTTTGAAGACGAGCATAAGCAGAAGATGGCTATGGAGTTGCTTCAACAGTATTTGCAGTTCAAAGAGGAAGCGGAGAAGGAAACAAAGAAGACCAAGAAAGAAAGGGATCCATTAAAGCCAAAGCAACCAATGTCAGCGTTTTTCTTGTTCTCCAACGAGAGGAGGGCGGCTCTTCTGGAGGACAACAAGAACATTCTAGAGGTGGCCAAAATCACCGGCGAAGAATGGAAGAACATGACGGAGGAACAAAGAGGACCATATGAGGAGGTTACTGATTTAAACTTCGTACCTGGAAAAACACATCCCAAGCTCCAAATTCTCACGTTTGTTTTGTTTTTTGAGTGAAATTGCAGATGGCAAAGAAGAACAAGGAGAAATACATGCAGGAAATGGAGGTTTACAAGCAGAGAAAGAAGGAAGAAGCTGAGAGTGTTAGAAAGGAAGAAGAAGAGATAATGAAACTTCAGAAACAAGAGGCACTTCAATTGCTTAAGAAGAAAGAGAAGACGGAGAATATAATCAAGAAGACCAAAGAGGAGAAACAAAAAAAGAAGCAGCAGCAGCAGAGAAGTGACCCTAACAAGCCTAAGAAGCCTGCTTCTTCATTCATCTTGTTCAGCAAAGAAGCAAGGAAAAGCCTGATGCAAGAGAGCCCAGGAATCAACAATTCCACTGTTAATGCCATGATTTCAGTCAAATGGAAGGTATGATATTGTCCTAAACCAACCATTCTTTTGGTCTTAAATTTAAAGTACGATTTCTGGATTAATATTGTGTTATTTGGTGTGTTGGGGTTATAGGAACTTAGCGAGGAAGAGAAGAATGTTTGGAATGGCAAAGCAGCTGAAGCAATGGAAGCTTATAAGAAAGAATTGGAAGAATACAACAAATCTGCAGCGGAGAACAAGCAGCAACAGTGAATGCTAATGTTTTGTTGATGTTCAAGTGTTTGTTGAACATCATGTCTTGGATCTAATTGTTTTTAATTCTGATTTTAAGGTTCTAGCAGCAAAATTTAAGATTAAAGTTCTAATATGATGATTTGGTACTAGGATCTAATTGTTTTTCATTCTGATCTTAAGATTCTACCTGCGAAAAATAGGATTGAAGTTCTATTATAATGTTTTGGTATTTATGATCAATGTCAAGGATCTCTATCTACATATTAACTTGTCTGAAACTAGCAAATTGAGATAACTTATCTGTACATTATCTCTAAGATTATTCAATGAATGGATGATACAAATGATAAAGACCTCTATTTATGTTCAGTTGTTACGTTTAACAACACAAACCAATTTGTACATTATCTCTTATCCTTAGAATCTAAATTATCATAATAATTATGAAGTTACGGAGTTGATTACTAAGTCAGGATAGGATTCTTGTAGAATAGCCTTTTAAAATGTTCCCACGACTGAGTCAAGTCTATTGGATGAAGCTAATGACTTCGTGTGTGTGTGTTCACGTAGCATGTATGAGCTTGCATCAGACTTGCGTCAGTAATCTGTTGGCTTAACAAATCTGTTAGCAGAAGTTATATTGTTTCTGAGTTTGTTATACTGCTATGTGAAGAAGTTAGATTAAAAGCATGGCTATAAATGTCTCTGTTGTAAAACCAGAATTTAATTGAATGAAAGATATCATTTCTGTTAGCCCTGTTTGTTCATTTCTCTATATTCTCAGTATGGTATCTTTTGCCGGTATCATGGTGTGTTCTTGATTGCTTCCGTTGCTAGTTCTCTGAGCACCATGTCTCAGATCGAGCATTTGATGAACATACTGAAGGGGATTCTTAAAGAATACTGGCCCTTTGTAGCCTTTATCTCTGTTATGCGTGAGACCTTGTCCATTGATAGTATCTGTAATATGTTGATCGATGCCGAGACTCAGTTGGCTGGCTTCGATGCATGAGACCTTCGCGTGCATTATTGTCGAATGAGTTGCTGCTTGTGCCTACCATAACGAAAAATTTGCTTTCGGCATCAAAACTTGCTAGGGACAACCATGTGTTCTTTGAGTTTCATGCAATGGATTATTTTGTTAGTGATGAAGTGACAAAGGAGAGAGGAGGAGGATTGTACTCGTTTACTTTGAGTAATAGAATGTATAAGTGTAAGATTGCTGAAGCTAATAATGTGACTAGTGCTTTTGATTCGTTTGAACTATGGCACAGGAGGTTAGGTCACCCTGCAAGATACTCTGGTTAAAGCTTGCAAAACAATTGATGTAAAGGTTGCAACTGATATTAATGAAGTGTGTATTGCTTGTCATATGGGGAAGAGTCATAAACTTCCATTTGGTTCTTCAAATACTGTGTATAATAATCCTTTCGAACTTGTGTTTTTCTGACCTATGGGGGTCTCCTCACGTTTCATCAAACGGATTTCGGTACTATGTTACGTTCGTTGATTCTTGCACTTGCCACACATGGTCTCTTGAAAGATAAGACTAAAGTTGTCACAGCCTTTAGATTATTCCAAAATTGGTTAGCAATAAGTTTAATCAGTTTTTTTAAGCTTTTCAAAAAGACTAAGTAGAGGGCGTTGTCCCTCGAATTACAAAAGGCTGGAATTGTGCATCGCGTGACATGCATTGTCACATTGTTGAGGTTGCTTTAGTGCTACTCGTTCAGGCGTTTATGTCCATTCGATATTAGTCTTATGCAGTACAGACAGTTGTGCATCTGATAAACATGCTGTCTACAAAGGTTTTGCATGGTATGTCCCCGTTTCAGAAACTGTATGATAAATCCCCAGATTTTAGTTGAATGAAAATTTTTGGATGCAGGTGTTTCCCACCATTTGAGACCTTTTCAAACACATAAGCTTGAGTTCAGGTCTCAATCATGTGTTTTATTAGGGTTCAGTAGTCAACACAAAGGTTTCTTGTGCCTTGCAAAGAATGACCTAGTGTACATCTCGTGGCACGTAGTATTTGATGAAGCATATTTTCCTTTTGCTCATGAGCAGGGCCGGCTCCAAGGGAGAGCAACCTGAGCAACCGCTCAGGGCTCCCAGTTTTTTTATTTATAATTAGGGCCTCCAATTTTTTATATTTATAATTAGGACCCATAATTTTAAAATTTTATTAAATTTTTAACTTTTATCCTCTTTTTCCATTTCTCTTATTAATTTATTAAATTTTGAATTAAATTTAACTAATTTTTTTATATTTATAATTAAGGTCCCTAATTTTTATGATTCCATAAAAATTTTGTTTTTGACCCTCTTTTTCCATTTCTCTTAATTATTCATTCAATTTTGAATTAAATTTGATCACGCTATTATCATTTTTTCAAATCTTACTCTTTTATTTATCAAATATTCTTTAATTTTTAGTCTTCTTTAATCTCAACTAACAATAAAATAATATACAATTCTTTTTATTTATTTATTATTCAAAATCAAGCTATGTATCATACATGCATTCAAATTTTTTATATTTATTCACTTTTAGTTGTATTTAATGTGTTTTCTTAATAAAATAATAACAATTATATATTTTCACAAAATTTAATCATTTTTTATGATTTATTTATGTAATATTGAATTAATTGTTCAAAGTAATTAAATATACTTTTATTTAAAAATACAAAATTTTGATTTTTCCCTTAGGACTCCGAAATTGTTTGAGACAACTCTGCTCATGAGGCTAATGGAAGTGTTAAGCAGGGTGATTCACGATGCCAGTCACAATCCTTGGCAGTGGTTAATGATGTTCATAAGCTTCAAAGGGCTGTTCTGCACATGTACCTAATGAGGCTAGTTTACGTGACAGCCCAGTAGGTCGTACAAGCCTAGAGTCACTCAACAACAGTACTACTGCTGATAGTAGCACACTTATACTGGATGCAGCAGCTGATGTTGTCTGGGTGGAAGCACTTCTCACTGACCTGGGTGTGCATGAGCGAGAAGAACCAGTCGTCTGGTGTGATAACACCAGTGCCGTGGTACTGTGTGTCAATCCCATGTATTTGCTCACACAAAGCATGTCGACCTCGACCTACACTTTGTGAGAGAGAAAGTAGCAGCACACCAGCTTCGTGTCAACTATGTCCCTGCCATTCATCAGATAACAGATGGGCTGACAAAACCTCTGTCAAAAGGTGCGTTTGAAGTTTTTTGGGGTAAAATATGTGTTCAGTCTTGCTAAACAAAGGAAGAAGAGAAGAAAGAGCAGGGGAAATATTGGATGAAGCTAATGACTTTGTGTGTGCGAGTGTTCACGCAGCATGCATGGGCTTGCATCAGCAATCTGTTGGCTTAACAAATCTGTTAACAGAAGTTATACTGTTACCGAGTTTGTTATACTGTTGTGTGAAGAAGTTAGATCAAAAGCTTGACTACAAATACATATGTTGTAAAACCAGGATTTAGTTAAATGAAAGATATCATTTCTGTTAGCCCTGTTTGTTCATTTCTCAGTACTAACCAAACCCTGTATGTTGCAAAAACCTTCTTACAGAACTATGTGTTTATGCATTTTAAGTCTAACCTGCGACCCGTAACATAAACATAAGTCACGCATAAAATATAAATTTAAAATTATTTTTTATATTGAATATTGAAATGTAAATATTTTTAAAATGTATCAGTTTGCAATGTTAGTACTTATGATTATTTAGTTTGTATAAGGAAGTTTTAGAAATATTTAGAATATTAAAATTTTAATACTTTTAAACATACATATAAAAAAAATAATGATATTAAAACTAAATAATATTAAAATATAAAATATATAGATATCATTAGATTTTTAAAAATGTAAATATTTTTAATGATATAAAATATAAAATATATATTTGATAAAAATAAAGTATAAATTATTTTATTTTATAGTAAAATCACATGTATTTAATGAAATAAGATTATGAAGAAATTTGAAAAATCACGTCTTTAAGTGGAATTTTTTTAATTGCGTCTTTACGTGGAATTTAAATGAAGAAGCTGGCTACCAAATTCTACTTTAAAATTTTTCATTTAAATTTTGTTTTGAATCCATTCATCATTTTTACAAAAAAAAATTAATTATAAAATTATAAAAATCTCCATAAAATGAAATTACCACGAAAACCTCATCCAAGCACATTATGATGAATCATATATGGCAATTTGGATAGGAGATGCCATGATGAGAAATATGAATTTACCTAATTTACATGTTTCTTTTACTATGTGAATAAATGCATTGTCATTACTAATAAATGTAAAAGTTCAGATAGCAAGTTTGTAACGTTGCATGTATTTTAGCCACATGTGTTCTCCTACATCATATTTATTACAAATATCTATTTTTTCTTCTTTTAGTTGATGTATTTAAGAGTCCAGTTAAAAGGAAATATTGTTCTTTTTAGAAGTTTTGAGTTTGAGTATTTGTTTATATAAGATGTATATATGTTGTTAATTGATTAATAAAATTCGAATATATACTAATTTTTAATCACTCCATACTATTTAAAAAAATGTTGTATTTTAAAAAAACACCATCAATGCAATAAGAAATTAGAAAAACCGAATCAATTTTGCAACCTCCCTATTTAGCTTTTGCACCCCTTGGTAACAAATCAAGGCCTTAAAAATATTTAAAATCAATGTGATTAGCCAATGGACCCTAATTTCTTGAGATCTATATGTATATAGGAGTGAATATTCTATCAAGTCGAATAGTAAAATTATGTAACATTCGATTAATGTGATTAGCTAATGAACCTTGATTTGAAATATGTGTGTGTTTATTGTCAGTTGATTAAAAAAATGCGTACAAAACTATATTGTAATCACCTCATGCTAATAAAAAATATAATTATTTATAATATTATGGTACTAATTAATTTTAATTTAAATAACTCTCTCTAATCATACACGATATATATATATATATATATATATATATATATATATATATAATTTAGTCTTTTTTTCACATATGTAAACGTATGTGTAAGGTTATTAATAAATTAAATATCATCTAAAATTGTATAATATATTTATAATGTTATTTTTCAAACAAGAGAGTTTCAGATCAAAGTATTGATGGAGTATAAAAGAGTCAAGGGACTGATGACAATAAAAATTTGAAAAGAGATGCAATTAAGGCATCAAAATGAATAAAATATAAAATTGAGAGATTAAATTTAAAAAAGATAAATTTGTTTTCAAAAGAAGAAATTAAACTTACATATGTATTCTATAGTGGTAGTGGAGTATGTAGTTCAAATAAGGTCAAAAATAGATTAAAACGAATAAATAGTTGAAGAAAGAAAAACATACAAAATTAAGGGACTAAATAAAAAATAGAAAATTTATTATCAAAAATAAATATTGAAGCTACATGGGTATATCCTATATAATTGAGGAGTGTGTGATTCAAGTTTGATCAAATTTACATTAAACCAAAAGAAAATTTGAAAAAAAAAATAAGAAACAAAACCACAAAACAATTAAATTGTTAACTTAAAAACAAAAAAAAAATGACATTTTAACTTTTTATTTTTTGATTAGTCAAGCTTTACAAATTTAAAATCTACTAAAAATCAAAATTTAAATTAAAAAATAAACTTAACTTGAATAATTAAGAATTAAAAAAATCATTTTTATAAATCCAATTAATTTTTCTTGACCGATATTCTTGTGTGAACTTCAAACATTAAATTGTAATTATTTAAAGTTAAACATGAACTCAATACTTAAATTAAGTGGTGGGGAACATATTATATTGAAAAAATAATTAAGCATTAACAAAGTTATCCACATCAACCGTTAGTAGCATGACACCTATATTTCAATTATAAAGTATACTTGGATTAAATTAAAGTATTTCATTCACGTGCACGAACCAACTTACCTCAGTATTTAAAGGAATTATTGTTGTTCCTAAAAGTGATGGGTTCGAGCACCAGCGACTGCAGCAGAGTGATTGAGTGTTTATTGTCAAATGGTTGAGAGTATTTAAAATATATATTACTTTATATTCACCTTAGCTTAATAAAAAAGTATTCCATTCACGTAAGATATCCATAATTTTTAATAGGGTAAACTAAAAAAATGATCACTTTCGTTTGAGTTTTATAAACTTTTCCTTATTGAATTCAAAAAATATATATAAGATTTGGTCATTTTCGTTTCATTTCAAATAAGATGTGATCACTGAAGGTTGACAGTTATTAAACCTTTAACGGTTTGCTGACGTGACATGATAAATATATAAAATTAAAATTACATCATTTCTACGTAGATAATACGTGGATTAAGTTTTTAGTCACTTTCCTTTTATATTTGTAAACTTTTGCTCACTAAATTTAAAAACATAAGTTTTAATCACTCATGTTATCGTTTTATTAAGTTTTGGTCATTTACATTATCGTTTTATTAAGTTTTGGTCACTTGGACGTTGGATACCGTTAGTTTGATGATGTGACCTGTTAATAAAATGGATTAATTTTTATTTTAACCCTACACATTAGACAAATTATTGATTATGAGTCTTTTTGTAAATTCAAATTAGTTTAGGGATAATATTTCAATTTATCCATTTTCAATAGTTTTCCCTCAACCCCATTGTTGTTCATCTTCTCTATGCTTCTTCTTTAAACATCTCTGCTCCATTGTTCCATTTACCTTCTTTTAAGGACTCATGTTACATTTCAAGAATAATGAAAGATTTCTAACTTCTGATAACAAATAATAACACCACAAGTTCAGAGAAAATGAGAGGGTAAGCATTTAGAGATAAAAGGAAGCCGATTAATCTTAGTTATACAAACTAAAATTCAATTTTCAAATATTGAGATTGTAGAATGTCAAATCCAACTAAGAACAAGAAGACAATCAATGGATCCAAACAACCAAATAATTGGATCCGTGAGTTCATCTACTGAACTCAATCCAAAATCCATGATCTTCAACGTCGAATATTTGTTTTTGCTCAAGAACTAGCAATTTTTCGATTCTAGATCCCTATGAATCACCATTAACCCCTGTGACATGTGTGATCTGTCGCACCACCGCCATAACTCCGAGCTCCGAGTAACTCGTTTTTGCGACGACCCAATCAAACAACTCACCGTCAGATCAGAGCTACAGTACTACGTGAACACTAGTTTGATCTTCGTAAACATCGTAAAGGTCAATCACGTTCAGATGCGACGAAATGTTCTTGACGATCTTTCGTATCACAAGGATTTCGTTGGTCAACAATGTGTCAGAGATAGAAATATGGTATTGTTTCATCAATCACGCTGCCATTGAAGAAGCTCTAGTTTTTTTTGCTCGAGGCGATGGCGTCGTTGTGGTGTTGAATCTTTTCAGAGTTTTAATGGCGAATTTTATTCATTTTTTCACGATCTTCATTACTTCTCTTTATACATTTTCTTACAACTGAGAACCCACATAATTTGACTTCAAATAATTGCAATTACTAATTAGAAACAAGAAGCCTATTGTAATGGAATATAGACGTCTGACAAAGAAACAGGGAGAAGATGATCATTTTTAGGGGTTGGGGAGAGTAAATATTAAAAATGGGTAAATTGAAATGTTATCTTTAAACTAATTTGAATTTACAAAAAAACCCATAATCAATATTTTATCTAAAATTTAAGGTATAAAATAAAAATTAAACCATTTTACTAATAGGTCACATCATCAAACTAACGAAATTCAATGTCCAAATGACCAAAACTTAATAAAACGATAACGTAAGTGACCGAAACTTAATAAAACAATAACGTAAGTGACCAAAACTTTTTTCCCTTTTGGAGAGTAAAAGTCTACATATATGAAAGGAAAGTGACAAAAATCTAATATATGTATTATCTACGTAAAAATTGTGTAATTTTAATTTTATATATTTATCGTACCACGCCGTAAACCGTTAAAGGTTTAACGGCCATTAATCTTCGGTGAATACATCTTAATTAAAACGAAACGAAATAGACCAAATCTTATGTTTTTTGAATTCATTGAGGAAAATTTTATAAAACTCAAACAATCTATAATTTACCCTTTTAAATATTTGTTTTACCATTATTCAAAACAACTTAGATATCACACAAATTAAAGTATCTCAGTAATTAAATAGATGATTGTGATCCTTTAAAATTTCAAATTCGAACACTAATAATTGTAAAATATTTTAACATTATTGTTGAATTATTGATAATTTTTAAAATAAATACTATCTTTTATAGTTACTCTAGATTAATAAAAAAATAACTCGGTATCCATGTGATTGAATTAAAAGTAATTATTCAAGTATGAAACCGAAGCGGTTCAACCATTCAAGGACGGCAGTCAAAATCAAATTGCTACCTCTTAACTGCCTAAATTAATTTTATATTTTCATTTATACTCGCTTTCAAATTAATAAGATCAAATAATTCATTAAGTGATTTCATACATAAAAAATATCATTTTTAAATTTTTTAAATTTAAATAATTATATACTAAAATATTTAAATAAATAATATCTTATAATTAATATAATAGATATTTATTATGAGGATCCTTTTAGTCCCGTCTATTTTTTTCAACATTAAAATTTAAACCTTAAAATTATTTATAATACATAACATCACATCTCATTAAAGTAGTTAACAATTCTATTTCATCCTAAAAAAGAAGAAAATAGTTAATAATTGTAAATAATCTTTCAAACAAATTTATAACATGAAAATAATTTTATTCAAACATAGGAAGTTTAAATAATAATATTTAATATTTATTTAAAGTACAATTAATAATTATTATATTTTCGAGAGAAGCTTTCAAAAAATGTTAGCTCAAAATTTTCAACCAAGACCTCTTAGGTTTGAGATAACTATATTGTATAGATAAGACAAGACTTCTAATAAATATACGTGATTTATTAGAGTGAAATTCAAAAATTTTACAATTAGATTTCTTTAACCAATGATACCTACGACACCTGCGAACAATCATAATTATTTTATGTCTAACCCCTTAAGTTATAATTATTATAAATATCTTTTGTTCACAACTGAAAGAAGAGAATTTACTATCTTTCTAAAACTCTTTTATTATCTATGTAGACAACTTTCTCCTCTACCTTTCTATGAAGTTTATAGGTAAATGACATTTTTATACCAACCATAACTTTTCATTCAAACTCGAAAAAATAAATGACCAACAATGGACACAATCAACTTATTATTATCATTAATAAATTTAATTTTTGACCGAAATTAGTTTGAACTGAGTTTTCTAACTTTTACGTTTGATACTATTGAGAGATGTCCAAAAGCACTTTTCCCGTCCTCTCAAACTTATTCAATACATTATTTTTCTCTCTCGTCCAAACCGCGTCTGGAAAGCATTAGTAAGCATGCAAAAGAAAAGTGTGAAATCTCTAACCAAGTCGAACCATCCTTCAATAAATGCAATCTTGGCCACATGGGTAACTTCTCTCCATTTCTAGCGGTGGATATGGATAGATCCGTGACCGCAGTGACGTACTTTATTTTCTCACCGACGCGTTGAATACGGCAACTACTACCTTCCCCCCCCCCCCCCCACAATTTTTCTCCCAACTCTTGTCACTTACATAGAAAACTTTCCTTTTCGTTTTCCCTCTTACCAAGCACATGCATAGATCCCAAGCACAAACCCTGAATGAAAATCCTCAAGATCAAAAGCTACAGAAAACCCAAGTATGGGACTGTGATAGCAATCTCTATGACTCGTTTGAGCTCAACTCATTCAGGCGTCAACTTAACTCAGCCATCAGTTCAAGAACCATGTCCATGCCTCATTTAACCGGCAACACTCGAGTTCCTCCTCCTAACCCACCATCAGTTTCCAAGAAGCAGCAGTCCAAGTTGTCTCGATCCATTCAAAAACTCTTCAAATCCGTGTTTAAATTCAGACAAAGTTCGAGTTCCTCACTTTTGTGGATGAAACAAAGATCAAAAGAGGAGTACTACGTGGTTTATGACAAGACAGGTTCACTGACAACCATTCCCGAGGTCTCGGAGATCCATTTTGGAGGGTTTTCGCCAGAGAATAACTCGTTGGTCGGTAAGAGAACTGCATCAGATAGATTCACTTCAGCCTCCACTGTCGGTATTTCATGTGCTTAAAAAACAGATAATTATAAAGAAGCATATAGAGATTACAGATAGTTTATCTGAATAACGAAGACGCGATCAAATAGTTTGTGTATATATTTTTTTTCTATCGTATTTCGCAGTTGAAGTTTTGAACTTTGACATGTTCATGTCTAAATTATGAACTGAATCAAAACCAATTGGATGATTTCTTTACGATCTCTTCATCTTTTTCTTGGTTAAAACTTCATGTTTAGCATGTTTAACCTTCTTGGATTATTACTTAATCGATCTCCCATGGAAATAAATTAGTTGACCCTTATTCTCATATGTAATGGGGTAAGGGGAGATAGGATAATAGGCTGGCCCCAACGTCAGGTTGAGAGCAACTTCCGTAGGAGACCTCCGAATTATGAAATACCTTCCGTGGGACTCGATCTCACGACCCCAAGGTTAAGAATCTTGTGCTCTACCAACTGAACTGGATGATCATTTCATGAAACTAATCTCCCATGGAACTAATCTATAATTTCATGAAGTTCTTTTTCCTGAAGAATGGGAAAGAAGTTAAAGGTTTTTCTTATGAGTAGCCTGGGGTATTCATTTTCTTTATGTATCAGAATACATATCAAGGTTTTTTTCATTATTAATTTTGGGACCTTTGACCTGAGAATAACTAGGCTTTAGGTCATCTCCAGCCCTCATCTCTACTCTACAGTATCTCTATCTCTACTCTAAAGATGAAACAGTAATTCATCTCCATCACTATCTCTACATTATCACCAACTCTACTTTATTCACAATATTTAACTATTATAAAATTGATTTTGTAAATATAAAATAAAACATATACATTTATAATAAATATCTATATAAAAAAGCATAAATCAAACATTCATAAATAACATTGCGAAAATACAGAGAAAATTGGAGAATTAAGATCCCTTCCTTCTACAATTGGAGAAGTAAGATCTTGCAATTTAATCTACTTGAATTTATTATATTATGTTTAATTTTTATTTTATTGTGTAAAAATTACAATAAAAAAAATAAAAGATAGAATAAAGAGAAAATAATGTAACAAAGAAAAGGAAAAGGAAAAAAACAAAAGAAAGTAAAAAACAAAAATAACAAAAATAATAAAAACCAAAAATCAGAAAAATAACAAAAAAAAAAAACTATAGCGCAGCTATAGTGCAAAGCCAGATGTAGCGTTTTACAGTAGCTGGAGCATTATCTCTACTCCAAAGAGGCGATGGGCTGAAGCACTATCTCTACTCCAAAGTGGAGATTTTCTTTACTCTAGCGATGCGTTGGAGATGGCCTTAATCATTTGTTTTTTTTCCCATCGCTAACCAACTATTTATTTATCATCTTAGATTTTTTTATAATTTATTTATTTACTTACTTTTTAAATAATTTAAGATGATTATAAGATATTATTTGTTAAAAAAAAATTAACCAATCAAGAACACATACACATCCTGCAACACAACTACTTGAACCAAAAAAGTCTAAGGGAAAATAACATTTTCTTTCACAACTAAGACTACATGATGAGTTCCGTTTAACTTATTTATTAATTTTGAATAGCATGTGATAATTATAATTATAATATTTATTTTAAGCCTATTGACGATGTTTAACTACTCAAACTCAAAACCTTTAGAGATAATAACACATGCATTACTATATATTTTCTTTTCTTTAGTACAGATTAAGAACTACTTATTTATCATTTTAAATTTTTTAATAAAGTTAATTTGGTTCGATTGTATAAAAGGTTTTTATAACTATGGATCCAAAGCGATATCGTTTTGATAAAGTTATATAATTAAATTTTTTTAAAATTATTTTAGTATTGTGTATTATGTCACAACATTAAAATGATCAAAACAAAAATAATTTCAAAATTTAATAATTAAATTAAAATTTTAATAATTAAATTAAGACAAAAAAAGTTCAGTGATGAAGTTTATAATTTACCTCTTCTAAAATTACCTTGATGGAAGGGAACTTTTTCAGGAAACAAAGTTTAAGGGTTCCATCAGCTGTTGTTGGTAATGGGTAGGTAAAAGTTAGGAGACCCACAACCCAAAATTTTTGGCCTCATTCATTTCCATCCATTTCTCAACGACCGACAGTTGAAAAGCTTTAAACACTATGAATTACAGTTTCCACATTATTAGCTCACAATTACTTTTAGAAATATTTGGTCAAGTTCAGTTTATTTGGTTCATATTGGCTACCTGCTTGGGTTAATATTTGGTGACATCGGTTACACTTGGTTGGTGTTAATTCTAGTTTTGTCTTATCCGTTTTTATTGTTAGATATTTAGTAGAATGATTAAGGTGGTGTAAGTGTTCTTGTACGAAGTTTTTTTTCTTCATATTATTTGTTTTAGATGTGGATTCTTTTGAAGTTTGTTTTACATTCATTTCATGTGTGATTTTTTAATATATAAAATATTATCATACGATAAAATATAGATTACCTATTAAAATTACTACCAAATTTAAGTAAGGTTTAGAGTTTGAATTCCGACATTTGCGAATGAAGCAAATTAAGTTGGAATGATCGGTCTCATAGTAAACTTTTGTAAAATTCAATCCAAAATAATCAATTAATAAATCAGATATCGATGACTAAAAAAAATCCGTACTTTCGGTAGTAATTGACTGATTTTAAAGACACATGATTTTTTTTCATTATGTAATACTTTTGGGTGTAATATGGGATTATTAAATTTGACTGGTGAATATATTGATCATTTAATAATTTGATAATTTTAAGTAGTGTTAAGATAATTTTATGATTTTGAGATATCATATATTATAATAAAATTTTCAATCTAAAATCACCATGATTTAAATACATGATTATTAATCATCTAAAATAATTAATATATACCAAGAATCAATTTAAAGGTTAAGAATGAAATAAAAAAAAAATATTCATTTCAACACAAGATTTCTATGATCTTGGAATCTATATAAGAAGTGATGCTAACTTGGTATTCAAGGCAAAATCAACTAATCAGCTACTATAATATGTACATTACCTTTCTAAGGAAAAAAAACTAAAATGGTAAAGATTTTGAAGAAAAGTGAGACAAAATTGAAACTGTTTGGGAATTTTTTAGAAAATGAAAATAAAGTGATTGAAATTCAAACTTAAGTATAGAATTTGGTTAGCAATTTAAAAGGACATATGGTACTATTAATTAATTAAAAATAATGCTTAAAATTTAGATATTATTAATTATTAAAATCAGATTATGAAAATAGGAATTTAACTACTAAATTAAAAATGAATAATTATACTTTATGAGCTTCAATTTTGATCCTCAATTCAAAATAGTCCTTATATGAATTTATAAATGAATTATTTCATTATATAATAGATTCAAGTTCAAATATTCTATTTTTCAAAATTTCTTTCTAATATTAGTTTTCGAAATTAATTTTGAAAATATCCAACTACCGATAACTATCAATAGTTATGATCATTACAACTCAAATCAACTTAAGACCGTGGAAATGAGTCAATAAGTATTAGAGTATGTTGTTGTTTTTTAAAGAAATATGGCTCTCGTTAAAAAAACTCTTCTAACTCAATCGAGTCTAAACTCAATCAAGACAAAGACAAAAAAGAAAAAGGAGTACCCATTTATTTATTAATCAACAGCAGTACACACGAGAATATCCTTGAGCCGTACAAACTATTCACCAGTCAAACCTGCCTAAAGCATAAAACCACCATCCACTACCTAATCCACTCATAAAGGAACCAACTATGGACACCTCAGAAAATAAAACAATCCAAAAATCTAAAATTTTCACGCACTAAAACTGGGGCATTTGATATTGCTTAACTATTGCCCTCAATATCCACAGGGAAATGAAAACAACCCCACGAAAACACCTTTTAATAAGTCATTGTCGACGCGCTAGGGAGTAACCTACACGTACAACAGACTGCTATCTTCACTGAGGAAGACCAAACACAACTTGATTTATTGCACACCACTAAATGACAGAAGCAAATAACAATGCCTTATCCACATACACTCAAATTCACTACCCATACAATAAAATCACATTTAACAGAGAAAAATCAACCCACAATAAAACAGCAGACAAAACTGATACCACCTTTATCGATGAAAATGCAACACAGAATCCACTTAACTAGATCATAAAAATGGAGACTAAAATAACCTCAAATTGGTATTAATTTAAAAAGATTTTAAATTATAATTAATTAATTAATTAAAAACAAAAGATTTAGCTTAACCTTAATCATTCATATATATATATATATATATATATATATATATATTATGCACGAGGTAGGTTAATCACCTTTTTACAGCCGTCTAAATAGAAAACCACAAAATAGTTTTCTAAGAAAAACATATTAGAACTAGCATTCTATAATCATTTACATTTGTTCACCTGTGTACTTGTAGAGAGTTGACAAGCGTTGTTTTACTATCAAATAATTATCCTTATTCTCAAATAAATAAAAATAATTAAATAGCGTAGTAGAGAGAAGAATGGTTGATCCACAAAGACTTTGAAGTTTCTAATGTAGGAGGTTTTTGATTCTGATGTGGGCAAAAATGGTGAGTAAACAAGGGTTTGTTTGAAAGAAAAAGAAGTAAATAAAATATAATGAAGATTAAATCTAAGAAATTTAAAGAAAGTATTAAGATGAAACTTCAATATAGTAAAAATAGCCTCAGACCTTGCATTGCCTCAATTCTAATCGATCATTGAATAAGATTATCACTTCAAATTAATGCCAGTTACAGTCTACAAGACTCAACCCTTGTAACTTGTTTTCTCTCCAGTAGACTGACAATCCAAATCAATCTTTGAATTCTAGACCTTATTTGGATAACCACGACTATCATCGCCATCACTAACTCATTTAAGATTTGGAAAAACGCAACTCAGACTATGTTGTCTCAATGAAATCGAATCCGATCTCAATTTCCCTAGCATACCACCGCTAAGTGTGTTCACAG